TTCTTGTTTCTAGTAGTAATGGCCTCCAACCTAATAGCGATGGCCTCGACATAGTAGCTTCTTGTTTCTAGTAGCGATGCCCTTTGTTACTATAGTACTTTTGGCAGGGCTTTCGGATCGTCGACCGTCGATGCGATGAAGAGGACATTGGTGTGTAAAATGAAGTTGTTGACCTGTGGGATAGGCATTGCAGGGGCTTGAAAGCACCACAGCCGACACATCAGCAGAGTTCTTGAACGGGGTAGGAACATCAACATCATTCTACTTGCGAATGCGTCAACAACGTCTCCTGTTATCTATGGACGCTGCTTTCCTAGTTGCAACGTATACATCCGCAGTTCACAAACCAACATGCATCTGTTGGCTTTTGGAACACATCGAGCAACTTCTTGCATCTGTTGGCATACATCATATGGAACAAACAACACATCCAATCACCCGAGTGACGCCACAACGCTGGCGGACGCCCAACGCTATATCTTCTTCTGACACCGGTTGCCGGCGCTCTCACAGATGTTTGTTCACCGGATTCTCATCACTTCCATGTACGTTTTTAAAAGGATTATTGTGGACTATTGTACATTTGTATACTAAGACTATTGTTATTCAATATAGATCTAATAGTGAAAACCAGTTTATATATATATATGTCTTACATGGTCTTACTTTTCTTATCTATTCTTTCTGGCAACTAATAGTCCTCGTCAAAGAACATCGTAGCCAATGGATTGCATCTTGAGCATGCAGTTGTTTAGTTTCGACCACTTGTAGCACAGGTGCCAAGATGACTGGAGGGAGTGGAAGCTATGCAAGTAAGCCCCTTCCTTCAGCGAAGCATTGTGTGCATAGCCAACTCCCAATCCATCCAACATTTCCTGCAGAATCAACCAGGCACCACAGATTGGTGCCTGATGTTTGTTTCTAGTCTTGGCATTTCCGGCTATTCTGGTGGAATGTGAGACCCCAGCACGAGACCTTGAGGCTTGAGTCCAGCGTAGGATGTCACTCGGCTTGTAGGATGTCAAAGAACATTCTCGTATTTGTAGTTTTTTCTTAGCTTTTCCTTGATCCCTTTCCACGCCTAGGCGGCTGTTGAGACGTGCTGTCTCATCAACGTCGGGGACGAAAGAGAAGGGACTGTTCTGGGGGGGGTGCTGAAGCTTTTTTGAGAATGCCTTTGGGACAAGAGAGATTTTCGAAGCAGGTACTACCAAGAGAATAGCTGTAGATATCTGTAGATGGATCAGAACCTTCGCCATATTTGGGTACTTCACATGAATCGAATCAAACTGATGAACACAGGTGCACAGGTTGCCATGCCCTTCAGGTGGCATGGGGAAGCAATGCAAACAACCTGTTTCATTTGTTTTCATAGAGCCAAAAAACTTGGTACGCCATGCAAAACAATACTCGTACTTGCTTCTTTTTCCTTGAGACATCTTGAGTCGAGACGTTTTTAGTCGATTGGTGTTCTTGCCGCACAAGAGCACGGGTGCATTGTTTAGACTCTTATCATCGGAAGTACATCCAGCCAACCCAAGTCCTATAGGTTCAGTGCTAATTTTCCAAGTGCAAGACCATTGGTGGATCTGCGGAATAGGGGACCTCGTTTGCATAGGTTGCTGTTGATTCATGACAACTGCAGTCATCCCAAAGTGTCCACAAAACTGGACATGAAGCCCACGCAACGTGCATCCTCCGATTGGCCCAACCTCAGCATCCTGGTGCATCCTCACGTCACCCAACCAGAATGGCCACCATCACTTGTGGCCTGATAAAAACAAGGATCGATCCAAGGCCCATGAAGGTCCCGGAGATGTGCTTTGCTTCTTGTGTGGCGAAGAGGAAATCGAGAAGGCACGGTCGGTCGCGCCCGGTCTACGCAACGCGCACGGTCGAAACAACGCGGTCTACGCGGTCTACGGGTACGCAGCATTTCTCGCCGCGTGGGTGTGGAGAATGCCGTCGGTTTTTTCGGATGTCACGAGCAGGCAAGGGGAAGTCGTGGGCATTTCGCTCCCTGAGAGAGAACACATGGCATCAACTACGAACGGGGCTCCTGGCCTTACTACTAGGAGCGATCGGACGCTACGAACGGAGCATTTCGGGCATCGCTACGAACGGAGCGATCGGACGCTACTAGGGGCTATCCCATTCCCCAACGACTCCATTGGACGGGCGTTTTCACCTGGCCACACATTGACTTTTGATCTAATAAATCTCCCCAGGCCTGAAGAGGTTGTTCAATCCATGGGGTGGGTGAGTCTACATCAGTCTACGCACATTGATTTCCTGAAATCCACCACTGTTTGGGGAAAAAAAACCTTCCGGATCCGGACATCGCCAATTCAGTGACCGGAGGTGCGTTTTGAGGATGTGTCGACACCACACGGTCCATGTTTCCCGCACCGTCTCGGTGCAGTCTGACCCAGCAAACATCTGATCCCAGGGATCAACTCTATGAGGTCCAACGGACCTGGAGGGATCTCAATCGAGCTCCTGGTCTTGCGATGTAGTGGATGTGTATTGAAATGGGGTGTGTTTGGAAGAAAGGACTTAGACCCCGTAGACCCCCATACTCACCCACTGGATCATGAGGGATCAAAAGGCTGTGGCGGCTATGGTCTTCCAAATCAGCACGTATGCATACATCATCTCCAGAAATGGGACCTGAAGGCATCCAAACATATTTTTGGGTCAGCATGGAAGGATTGCTACAGTACCATACAGTACCAGCGGCCCCACATGGCCCATCAAAAACCGGGTGTTCTCCTTGCAAACAACATGGCTTTTGTATGTGAACACCGTTGTTTCTCATGGTCTGCTTCGGGAGAACTGGTACCAACTGCATTGACCTTGAGAGAGGTGGGAGATCTTTCGACTGGCCAGGCGTGCGCTGAGATCCAGGCTCGGGCGGAGGCGCCGGGGTCCGAGAGGACGCGCTGAGCGACCGAGCAACCGCTGGTGGCGGCCGCCTGGTCACACGACCCCGAATGACTCGCGTAGCTCGTGTGTAGCATTGTGGTTCTGCCTCCAACCATGGTAATTCTCAGTGTTTTCTTATATCAGCCAGTCTCCTCTATATCTGGCCCCGGCCGGTACTGGTGGAAACGTATGTCGTGATTGTTCAAACATAGGCGGTCCATATCTTCCATATCTTCCATGGCGGTCCAGGACTCAGGTGGGCGGAATGGCGGCCAAGCAATGTCGATGGGGATCGCCGAAGGCTCTACGAAAAACATCATGGTGCCGAGGGATCGTCAGAAGATGGAAAAGGGGTGATGTTGCTCATCTTCTCTACCAGGATCCTCCGTTTGAGGTGTCTATCAATAGCCCCTCTTAGAGGTTAATTGAAGGGTGTCCAAAATCCACCTGTTGGACTCTGTTGGAAGGTCCTGGTACAAGAAGCTTTCTGTCTTTTTCATCAGCACTGGTTGGATCCCCTGGTTTCGCGAACCTACATGTAAAAAAAAACAACACATACAAAGCATCGAAATCATGACAACGCCAGAACTGTAGAAACTCCTCAAAATGGTTCCAAGAGCTAAGTCCTTCCCTTCTTCGCCAGTCTTCGTCGGCGCAGGAGACCGGCCAGGAGACTTTAGCCCCTCGGAGCGTCGACGGAGGTCGGGCCAGGCGACGCGAGGTCATTTGGAAGACTGCCGTGGGTCGGAGATGGTGTGTGGAAAAACCATGAGACCATTCATGGCGAACCACGCGATCGCGAATGTCGCGGCCCTGCGAAGCGTCGGCTAGTCCGGGATGAGGATAGAGTCGACTTCCACCTTTGGTGACCCTCTTCTGGATGGGCTTCATACCCCTCTCTGGTTTGCAGAATCGGCAGGTGCGTGACTAAGCAATGCATCGTCAGGAGTAATTAAGAGAATCATATTATTTGCCCTGTACTTTGACGAATCTAATCATTTAGAATCCCCCATGGACAGACGCTGTGTATGTTTTGTAAACTTGCAGATTGGTTCTCATCAAACTGTTAATATTGAACTGGCAGTCAGCTTGAGACTTTTGCCTGCAGGCATTGGTGCCGTGGTATTTCAGCTGAGGTGCTTCCACTCTACTCCTCCTTGCCGATGAACCAGCAGAGGCGGAGTCTCCAGAAGAATCGTGCTTACAACAGTTACAACGTTTCGATGGTTCTCTTTGGTTTAAGATCTAAGGAGTATTTGGTGCTTGTGGTGTAGAGAAAGAGAAGCAAAAGAAGCAGGACTAGTAATGATTCGGAGTTGTCGGCATATTTGCTCTCCATTTTGACCACAGAAACAGAACTAATTATAAAACAGATTTAAACATATTATAATCCATTATATACAATAATGATGGGTCACCTTTACTCGCCTTTTTGGCAGTCTCAGACAATTTTCCTCAGGCCTGCTGTATCATCCCGCTCTCCTCAATGTCTGGGTCTACCTACGTACCTCGGATGGTCCTCGTCCTTTTTTTTCTTGTTCTTCAATACGCTTGAAATATGACTGACCGTGTCCAGTAAAGAGACGCGTCTTAAGCGATCACTGTCCAATAGAAAGAAAGGTTTCTGCATCACCGAGTCCATCAGGTCTGTCTTCCCGAGTCCAACCAGGACCAAAATGGATGGTCAACCGTGTTATCCTTTGATGTGCATAAAAGTAGGGGCGCTCACCGGCATCACCCCTCCCCCCCCAAAAAAGAAAGGACACGCTCGGAAGGGCTCCCAAATGGCTCCGAAGGGCGGGCTCCGAAGGGCGCAGCCCGCGGTGCAGCCTGCAGCCTGCGCCAGGCGCGTGTTTCCACCAGCGCCCGAGGGCACCCGCAAGATCATTGTGGGGAACGCTCTGTGAACGCGTTCCGGGAGGTGGAGACCATTCGGGGGACCTGTCCGGCTGGGTAGGCTAGTCGACCTGTCCGCTGGAGCGGGTCGGAACGCCTGGGAGGTCTACCTATTTGAGCTACACAGCTGAAGGTTGGTTGACCAATCAACCATAGCGCGCAGATCCGGGTCTTCCGAAGTTCATATGTGCCATGGATTTGCTACCTGCATCCCTTTGAAACATTGTCACTCACTTGGTTTCTTGTTGTAGGAACCCTAAGTTAAACCATTTTAAACCAGATCAGAAGGAATTTGAGACCGCGCACCAGTTTTGAGAGAACTGAAAGCATTTGAAAACATGACAGATCACGGGAACCTTGTCTCATGATGTCACTCGGTGCAGAAATACCGCAACATCCATTCATACAACTGGCTTCCCCAACTCCCTCCAGACTGCTGAACCCCGGCCAAACACCCACCCCGCCCGAAAACCGGCGCTCCAGACCGCTTTCACCCCGACCTCTCGGTCGCCAGAGCCCCCGACCTCTCCCGTCCACGGACCCGTCCGCCCGGAAACCGTCGGACCTGAGAACCCTCGGCCGGTCCCGTTTGCCCCGAGGTCGCCACGAACATCGCCGAGACCTCCTTGACGATCGACGGCGTGGTCTTCGCCGCTTGGGAAAGCAAGTGCGGCGGCGACGCACCGGTGCGGCGGCGTTCGTTCTTTTTGTTTTTTCTACTAGGAGCGGTCTTTGGAAGCTAGTAGAAGTAGCAAGAAGCTTCCCATGGTTCCAGTGCAGGTTTTGGAAGCTCCGAGGAGGAATCGAAGCAAAGATTGATTGCTTTTGTGTTCAGATTCTGAACAGTTGACAGATCATGGAAGGTTGCTATGAAGATCTATGAAGCATGGGACGCTACGAACGCAGCTCCTGGCCTTACTACTAGGAACAAGAGGCTACGAACGTAACAAAGGGCATCGCTACTCGGAGCGATCGGACGCTACGAACGGAACAAGAATGCTACGAACGTAGCTCCTGGCACCGCTACTAGGAACCCGGGCATCGCTACCTCATGTTGACCCTTGGGAGGGCTCCGACGTCTGACCCATGGAGCCCTAGAACGTAGCCCCGAGTCGTCGACCGCCCCATGTCCACATCATGTGACCGTGCACGGTTCCATGGATCACCCCATGTTTCAAGGAATCCTGCTGATGGGGTGCTTTGTTTCATAGCAAGACGGCAAGTGTGTAGCCCTGTGTAGCCCTAGGGATCCAGTCATCAGGTGCTGTGTTCGACACTGTTGTGTAATGTATACCTAGATCTTCAGTCCGGCACTTTTACAGGGTCCGGCGCCGGACTTCCAACTCCGGCGTTTTTCTGGATTTGGTCCGGCGCTTTTTCCAAGTCACTTTATGTGGATTCTCAAGGCTTTGCATTCTTTGTGGTCTGCATTTTTTTGAAGGTAAACCCACTATTGATGCATATTGATGAATGAGTTTGTTTGCAAAGTGTGCTCGTTTGCTTGTTCCGCTGTTTTCTCATTCCATCGGTTTCAGCATGGTTCACACTGGATCAATCAGATCCGTTTAGGTGATCTTCTAAATGAAATCGGATGAAGCCGGTACAGTGCGATGCACTTGTTGAAAGACCCAAGTGGGCGTACCTAGGCTGAAAGAGCATAGGTAAAAATGTACTCCCATTGTTTCAGGATGTCGGGGCGCTGGGATATAGTTCTAGCTGCGCAGGTTTGCAGAGCCTGCCGGACAAGTTTTGGGCTGTGGAACATGTGTTGTTCAGAATCTTAATGTTTTGCAGAGAGTTGTCAAAAAATGGCACGTCGTAACTCCGGCGTAATTTCCCGTAACTCCGACGGTTTTTTTTGGACTGAGTCTTCTGCAGGCTTTGGTTTTGACTTTGAGAAATTTTTCTTGCAAAGAAGAGTTTTGACAGGAGCCATGAGTTCTGCTACTTTATTGGGGGGCCGTCCTGAGGCAAGCTTTAAAGAAACATTAAGAAGCATAAGAATCATGGAGAGCAACCCACTTTGTAAAAAAACACTTTAGAGACACGGTTGCAGAGAAAGATGAGTTCATTGCCACATGCTCCTTGGTTTCTTCTTGGAAGTCTTTGCTTGGGCACAAGTTGCTTATATTTTGTGATGGTTCTGCTCTTAGGCCATTCGGAAGATGGGCGAGGGCAATGGGAACGGGAAGGTTCGAGTGTGCTCCAGAAGGGCTACTCGCGGCGCAAAGGCAATTTCCTGATGTATGATCCGACCTGTTATCATCTCTGTTTTTCAGAATCTTGTATCCGGATGTTTTTTCATGTCTCCGGCGTTTTTTTCGGAAACCGGCGGACAATTTTGCCGGATTGAGGTCCGGCACTTTTTTCCGCCCAAAGGAGGATCCAGGTATAGGTACTGTCTTCGGGTCCAGTCGTACCTGTCGTACCGAACCTGAGGTTCGGTACGACTGGAAGGTGTATATCTTGACCCATGTGAACCCCCTGAGGAGTTCGGACCGCACGCGTCTGTCACGCCACGACGCTCGTCGTCTCGTCCGCTTCAGGTCGTGGACCCTGGACTCTTCAAACAAATGCCACGTGTCTGCGGCTAGGGCTGGGTCAGCCGCCCCTGGCAGCTTTTGTCTCATCGACGACCAGGGTTTGTCTCGAGATGGAGAGATGAGCGGACAGCGGGACGCCGTAGAAGATGCTTATTGGTGGGGTTTGCATTTGGTCCGCTGGAAGATCCAGAAAGGCACTCACTACAACTCACTACGACTTGATCAAATGGCCCCTCATTGGTGCTAGGGGAATCAAGAGCTTTATGATCACTGTTGAGCCTACAGTTTGAGTATTTGACTGGATTATATACACTTCCTGAAACAATCATACTCATACTACTACCTACCTACCTACCTCCCTCCC